ATTAGAAAATTAATAAAATTATTTAAAATTTCAGAACTAGCATGATGATTATATTCAGTGAAAAAAATGTAATGAAAAAACCTGAAATCATAAGTATTTTAAAAATTCATTTCAATTCACATGTGTATTCACAGATTCTAGTGGCTTTTAAATGTTGCAATTACTAGAAGCACTTGGAAATTTTCCCCTAAAAAAGTATAGCTTCAGAATGGTGACAAATACTGATTTTGTTTGAAACCAGTGGTAAGAACTTAAAATTTTTAGAATCTAAGAATGTTATTTAAATCTATCAATTAAGGGTTTCCTTTTTGCTTACTAAACTACCAAACTATAGAAGCTAGGAATTTAGAAAATTTGGGATATCAGCAATCTTAGATTAGACACAAGTTAATAAAAAGTGCCACTTACTAGTTTGCAATTCATTTAAAATACTTTGTATATGTTGCATTAAGTTGAAAAAAAATTTTTTTTTAGATTTGATGATGTGTGTATTCAAAGTCATAGCTTTTACAGAACATTGTGGTATTTTATGGCAAAATTACAACAAATTTGATTGAATCTAAGCTTGCTGAGTTAACTTAAGAGAATACTTATAGTTTAAGGTTGCTTTCTGATATGTTGAAATAAACCTTTAAAAATCAATTAGGTATTTGTTTTCTGACTTACTATCAAAATGTTGTTCTAATGCTTCAAGTTTTCCAAATAAAAAGAATATTTCAGTGTCAGTAAAACTTTGTTAATCTCTCCATCAATATTCTGAAGAAACAAGCCAAACAACCACATTCTCAACCGTATATGTACTTTTGTGTTAGTTTTATTTCTTCAAGGATATGTAAATGTGTTTAACCAAGGTGTATAAAACAAATGTAACTAAAGAAAGATGTTTTCTAAAGTACAATAGACTAATAAATTTTCTCTTCACTTGCCTTCAAATTTTCTTTCTAGTGCATTATAGAATTAGACAAATTAGCAAAAAGAAACAAAAAACAAAAAACTAAGCCATACCAGAAACCAAACTGAAGGAATGTTCAGGAAAGAAAAAATGAGGTGTTGTAGAAAATTATATTTATCCACCACTGGATAGGCATGCATATATTAAAAGCATAAAGGACAGCAGGACTAGAAACAAAAGCTGTGCGCTGAGGTTCCTACAAGTTTGAATTAACTAAATGAAAAAAAAATGAAATCATTCTGCCTAAACTTGCTTACTAATAAAAAGCTAATCTCTTTTGTTAAATATGCTGGATGTGATTATCAAGCAAAAATTTTCTCCCAGACATCTATGAATAAAACATGTATTTGAACATTAAGTAAACAAACAACAAATGGATGAGTTCAGTTACAACATAATAACATTTTATTTAGAAAACATATATAATCATACTTGTATTGGCAATCCAAATTTAATGACTTCTTTCAGTAAAATCAAAGTGCTTCATGAGTAACATCTGATAAAGAAGCATTGTTTGTTCTTTGATGTTTTCCTCTTAAAGAAATAGATTTTCAAGGTATCTAATTAATCATACACGTGAGCTAAATGAATGATTTTAAATTCAAACAAAATAGGTATTAGAGCAAGCAATATTTAAAAAAGCTGAGCTTAGGGAGAGTAGCTATTTTGACTCAGAGCTAATTTGTCTTTTAAGTCACTTATATTCGCAAATTACAAGGTCTATAAGAAATATATAACTCTACATATATGTAGGCACATATATGTACACATATGCTTACATATGTGTACATATAAGTGTACATAAATCAAAATTTCTGAGACTGAAGAAGGATGTTAGCAAAACCTTCTCTAAATTGATCTGAATGTGAATAAGATTATATGTCCAATTATATTATATTCTGCGAATGAAAAGAAGCCATGTATAACAGGAAAAGAAAACAACAGAATGAGTGTACTCTGTTGGTGTTTCATACAGCAGTTAAACTGGCAATGGAGGGAAGAACTCTCTTTAGATATCACTTAATTAAGTAAAGCATCCTAATCAGAGTCCCCTCCAATTGTAAAGACTGTAGGGAGTCAAGTACATTTCTGTCTATATCAGCGTATCTAACCACAATGATTTATTGATATTTATTTTAGAATTACAACACAAAAGCAACAAAACAGGAAGCAAGGAGAGAGGGAGACTGTGATTGCTTTATTCTATGTCTACCAGAAGAGTTTTACCAAATGTGAAGTGTCTTTTTGGGGGAGGAACCCTTTCTAAATTCAGATAAAGCTTACAGATGGACATTTTAGCTTTCTAGATATCAGTTTCCCAAATAATTACAGTGACATCTCTTTGCCTTGTATGAATACGTAAATCATTGGTTCACTTTCTCCACTGTAAGAGTGAATGCAGCTGAGTGCATGAGCACCTGCTGCTCCTGCAGTAATGCTGAGCAGTATTCTGCCCTCATTTTATCCATAAACTCTTGCTTCTCTGAATGGGAGAGATGTTTGGGAAAGAAATGTAAATATGTCCTATAGTAAGACAAGTATTGGCTTCACTCCAGGCTGCACACAGCATTGACCTCTTTACCTGCTGTACTTCACATTAAAAAAAAAAAGCATGGATAATCAAGGGAACAAATGGGTGAATCACGCCAGGAACATAACCAATATTCCAGTAAGAGGATGTTATAATACAAGTTATTTAGAACAAAGTTGACTAGCAGTTGAAAATGCATTGGTAGAGATCCATCCATCACTGTAAACTTCATAATTTCAATGTCTTTACATGCAAATTATCTAAATAAAGGACAGCTAAAATGCACGTTAGCATAACTATCCAGATAATCTAGGTCAAAGTACATTTTATTTGTGTTTCAATTATCTGTCCAATTTGCATGTGCAGACCCAAGTCTCAACACTGGGGCTTAAAATTTAAATAAGAAAAAAAAAATCACACAGCACATGAGCACATGCATTTGATAGCATTCTTTGAGCTTATTTAGTCTGCATGAATATAATTTTCTAGATGTATCTCTGTATATAATTCAGTGTTATCTGCTTTTATAACTTTACAGAGCATTACTCTGGAATAATGAATATAAATTAGGTAAGCATGACTATAATTATTTTGCATTTACACATTCTTCAGTAGGACTGTATGATTTCTTTTAAATCTTGTTTGTTAATCTCAAAAGGTTTTCTTTTATCCCTCTACTCCATTGTTTAGCAGCATTTAAATGTGAAGCGGAAATTAAATTTTGGAAATGATATTTTTAGGTTAGATTTTGAACTGAGATCACTTGCTGCTCAGGTTTGGTCATAACCACACTGAAATGAATAATTTCTTTTCCCTGATATTTGTGACTAAATTTCAAAGTTTTGTTCACCATCTCTTCATCATTAAAGCATTTTTTTTGTAAGAATAAATCTATAATATATTGCCAGAAAAAAAAGGAAAAGAGCCTTATGGGCTCATTTAAACACTTTCTCATTACAGATTCCTACACTCTTCTATTTTGTTTCCTTCAGTTTTGTAGAAAGAAGGTGTTGGTCAATGAGGAACTAGTCCTTGAAGCCATCTCAGATATCCCCTGCCTGGTTTCAGTTTGTAGATCATGTGAAGATACTCTCTTTTTCCACATGTAGAGGACCGATGAGCTTACTTCCAGCCATAAGTGAGGAAAGGGGCTCATACTTGATATTGTGTGGTGACGAAGTCTTCTGCTTGGCAGAGTACCTGGGAAGACTAATGATTCTTTAGATCTTGAGCTGGAGAGGAGTGATCCACTCTTCCACCAGCCCTTTCATTTCCTTTCCTTCCTGGTAATGAGTAAGGCAAAAGTGCTGTGAGCTGCCAGGTGTTAGGAAGAATGGCTGCCTTATCTCTTAGCTGGATGCAATGTGTCCATACACACAAGGTGTCTGTGGTTCTTTGTGTTTATTCTTTCCCAATCTTATAAGGATAACTATTCCAAGATGCCCAGATGACCAGGTGATCCATTAGAGCCATCAGAGGTCTAAACAGTAAGTGAATTTGGTAGTGAAGTCTACCAGAGCAGTAGTATCTGACCACAGAAGAGGAAAGAAAGTCTTTGAAGGCAGGGAGAACTTTGGGGATCATGATCCCACATCAATGAGAAATGCTGATTATGAATGCTAGAAAGACACTAATCCTCAGAGTGCAGCACAGAGCCACACCTAAAGGGAACATCATAGTGCTCTACAAAGGGAGAGGAAGACTTCCAGAGCCAGGATTTTGGAGGTACTGCTTGGTCACACCTATTCTCTGTATATGTTCTTTTCTACCATCAAACCTTAAGTTTGGACATAGTTTATGTGTTTGGGAGATTGTTTTGTAACTACTGTTCTTGTTATACCTTCTAGGTAAATCCCTTTTCTAAAAACTAATAGAGTTCTAATAATTCATTGCCAACAGAGGAACACAATGGATGAGAACTCAGGAAGTATATAACTTGAAATCCCATTCCCTCAGGATTATTCCTAGTTCCCCAAGGGGAGTAATGATAAAGAGGGGAGAAGGTTGTTACAAAAGCAAGATGTTTACCAACTAATCTGCTTCTTTTAGTTTAGTAGCCACCAAGACTTGTTTGTACTGTGTGGAAAGCTTCTCTATCTTCAAATCTTGGTAATGTGGTTATATAGGTACCTGAGGAAACCCTCCAATTTCCATATAGTATATTACCTTGCTACCTTTCTTATACAGGTACAATTTTGATTTTCCCTGAGAGCCTATTCTCAGCAATTTGGAGCCTTAGAAAATGTAGGTAGCCTAACATTTCATTGCCCAAATGATATTTTGCTACAACCACAGATCATCTTGATTATAGCTTTTCCAGAAGATGAAGTATGGCTGACATTAGTCTACTGACAATTGTGACTGTTGAGTGTTTTTTTTCTTAGTTTCATTTATAAGATTTTTTTTTCGCCTCATCTGTGCTTCATATTCTCTTTCTTCTGAAAGCAATGAAGGAAATCAGGCACAAACTTTTAAATTAAGAGAAACTCAATGACTACATTTAAAAATCCAGCTTGATACTGTGAGGCAGTTTGATTTATTTTCTCACTGAGTTGATGCTTTTGAGGATACAAGACACTTGCACAAGGAAGGACATCTGTGGTGGAGAGAATCATTATAACTTTATACTTTCTTACAAGCTTCTTTCTTACTTGTACTTTCTTACTTCAAGATTCTCACAATATGGTTAGTATCTTTGAAAATTTTTAGGTGTAGATGTGTGACATTCTGTAGGTGCTATGACCAATCAAATGACCAGAGTATTTATTATAGAACTAGAAGAATAGTAACAGAATTCATATGGAGGTTCAAAAGGTCATTAATCTCAAGGGCAGTTATTGGGGGAAAGAGGGGTGAGGGAAGCAATCTATCAGTGCAGGATCTCAAGCTGTTACAAAACAATAGTCATCAAAATGATGTGGGAGACATTATTACACAACATATAAAAGTAAATGAATGCAATAGCATTGTGCCTGATAAACCAAAAGATTCTAGTTACTGGAGGAAATAGTATTTGACAAAAATTGCTGGAAAGCTGGAAAGAAATTTCACAGAAATTAGAGTAAAAAATCAAGTTAAGTTCCAAATGGATATGTAACTTAAACATAAGTGATCACATCTGAAGCAAATTAGAGAGGCCAGGAGGAAATATCTTTTACTCCATGGGTGGGGAAGAGTTCCATGACTACACAAATGACTGAGAGTATCATAGAATAAAAAAAGGATAATTCTAATTATACAAAATTATTTTTTTCCACAAACAAATCAGTGCAGTCAAGATTAGAAGGGAAATAGGTAACAGACTACATGGAGGGGGCATTTGCCCTAAGTTCTCTTTTTCAGGTCTGATATCCAAGATATAGTTGACTATAATTAGCATTTATTAAGTGCCTACTATGTGTGAGACACTGTGATGAGTCATTCTTGAGTAGATAGGCAATCAAAAGATATGAACAGAAGTCTTCAAATGAAGTAATACAAGCAACCAATAACCACATGTTTTTGTTTTAAGAGCTCTAGGTAGAGAAATATAAATTAAAGAAATGCTTGTGGTTCTACTCCATATACATCAAATTGGCAAAGGTGACAAAAGAGGGAAATGACAAATATTAAAGGGGCTATGTGAAAACCCACTAGTTTTCACCCACAATTCACTCACAGTGAATTGGTCCATCCATTCTGGAAGGCAATCTGAAATTATGACCCCTAAAGTTACTAAAATATGCATATCCTTTGATTTAGCTGTATGACTATTAGATCCATATCCCAAAGAATTCAAAGAAAGAAGGAAAGGACCTATATGTACAAAAATATAGCTGTTCTTTTCCTAGTAGCCAAAAAGTGGAAAATAAAGGAGTTCTCTCTTTTTGGAGAATGAAAAATAAATCATAGTATATGAATGTAATGGAATATTATGTGCCATAAGAAGTGATAAAATGGACAATTTCAAAGGAAACTTGGAAGACTTTTATGAACTGATGTATAGCAAAATAAGAACTAGGAGGACACTGTGTACAATGAAAACATCATAATAGAGAAAAAACAGCTTTGAAATATTTTAGAACTCTGAGCAATGCAAGCATGAGTCCAGAGGACTAAAGATGAAAAATAGAAGATTTATCCTGCCAGAAAAGTGATGGACTTAAAATGCAGAATGAAACATTTTTTAAGATGAGCAATATGGTAATTGATTTTTCTGGACTTTATTATGAAGCTTTTATTAATTTATTTTTGTTTTGAATTGTGCTAGGTCATCTATAAAATACTTTATAAAGGTTAACTCTTGGTAAGTGTGATGCCATAGGAGGTAACCTGTAACCCCATCACTTTTCATCAGTCAGTTCAGGTATCTACTTTGAGGTGCTTTCCTGTGTTGTGAGCTGTCACTACATCCCTTTGCCTGATAGACACCCTAAACTCTGGATCCTGTGAGTCTTCCCCTTCACAAAGCATTCTTGATCCTACCTTTACCCTTGCTTTCAAATAATAATAATAATACATTAATCTCAAGATAACTGAAGTACTATTGCTAGAAAGAATTCAGTGATCTACTCAGGCCTATTCCATACTTTATCAATAGCTCAGAACAGGCATAGATTATATGTTTGTCAAATTTGTGGATAAAGTTGGCTGGGATAGCCAATACCATGGGATAAAATCAGGATTCAAAAGGATGTTGACAGGCTAGTCTCATATGCCCAATCAAATAAGATTACACTTAACATGAATAAGTATAGAGCAATTTTGATGGCAGCAAAAACTCATGAAACACAAAATTTCTGTTTCATCCTCAGTCCTATGCATCCCCATTCTGCCTCCATCTTTAAAATGAAGCTTGATTATGGCTTGTATTTACTGGTTTCCCATATATGTATAACAGGATCCTTTCTTACAAAGGTAGTCAATATATTATATGAATATGGGATAACTTTTTATTTCTTCTACCTCAGAAACTGCATAAAATGTAGAGGACTTACAGGCACCCACAATCAAATACAGAACAAATAAAATAATAAAAAAACTCATTTCACTCATGACCCTCCCCCCCTCAAGAAGGTAAAACCATTTTATTTTGAACAAACATTCCCCTTTTGCCTCAAACTTGCACTGTCCAAGTAACTCACAGTAATATCAAGGAGGACTAGAAAGACCTAGCTCTCCTTGTCCTTTGTGGCATGAACTCAGTCCTCCAGCCACAAGATCCTTTTCTTGGAAGTCCTCTTCTTCTTCCCAGAAGCAAACTGTCAAGGAATTTTTCTCCTGCTGAATAGCTAATGTCCAGCTCTTTAACTCAACATTATCCAGGGGGTAACTCCAAAGCTAGGAACACTCATTCTCAAGACCAGTGAGCTCTGACTTATGCACTGAAAAGGAAACAGAAAGGCAGAAGGAAGTAAAGAATGGAAACTTTCCATTAGGACTCATACATGTATTCATCTTCTACCATTATGCTGCTTCCATAATGTCTAGAAAAGACCCTGTCCTCCTGGGCCTCAACTAATTGTTAAGAAGAAGCCATGGCCACTGGAGATCAATTAGGGTAGTTCCCCTTCATCCTCACATTAGGGGCCAGAGTGTATGTCAACCTATGGAGCTTCTGACAAAGAACCACACCTGTAATCTCATCAAGTTGATATAAGAACTCAGCAAATTGATCACGAGTTCTCCTGATCAACTCCCATTATAATTAACTTACATATTATACTCTAAATATGAGATCTTTGTCTTGTGAATAATGAGCAGACATAATACTAAATCATATAAATCTTGACCTTCTCATTATATATGGAAACAGAAGATAAAAGGAAGTTATACCCATATGTATCCAGGTCCTCTGTGGAGAGGTCAAGAGAGTAAAGAAGTAGGCAGAAACTAATTTTATCATACATTCAAGAGCAGCAAGAAACCTTCAGGTCATTTCACATTAAAATGTTCAAAATTAGCATTTGTAAAAAAAAAGTAAGAATATAGTTGTACCTTTTGTGAATTTCTCAATTGGAGAAAATAAAAATGTAAAGAAATTCTATAAAGAATCTTAGAAGGAGAACTGCAAAGAGAAGAAAAGCAAAAGATTTATGAAAACCATTTCAACAAACTTTTCTCTATGAAGGTAATTGGACTCCTTAATGTTATCCTGGCAACTGTTTAACACTCTAACAACAAAAAATGTATCCATGATACATTTTTCAGTTTAATCTGCATTACCAACATTTTCTGCACCAATTTATTAAGTCTAGACAGGCAGCAAAATAATAAATCAAGCTCTTATTTGTAGCATTTCCAGATTTCCAACATGTAAATGCTCATACTGAAGATTTAACAATTGTCTCAACACAAGCTAGCTCCAGTCCACCTCAGCTCCTGAGGTGCTTATACAGGAAGTAGAAATAGCATTGAAGAGAACAAAGCCATATTGGATCAAGAACATATGGAGGAAATCTCTACTGGAGTTGATACAATTGTGAAAGCATTGAAGAACTAACATACAATGTAACTGAAAGAGGGAAAAATATTAGTCATGGGAAAAAATTCAGCCTAATTAATATCTAAAAACATATGATTGAGAAAACATCAGTAATTAGTGAGCTATTTGGCTACTCTCCCATATCATTATGAGGAGTCATCTACATATTAATTGAGGACATCCTCAGTGAGGGCCCTAGAAGGTAAAAAGCAGGCTTTCAGAACTAGTGATATTTAACAATGGACCATATATGAACCATCTCATAGTTAACTGAAATATGTAGAGAATTTAGAATCCTATTGTGCTTATTATTTATTAACAATGAAAAAGCATTTTATTTGCTTATAACATAACAAAATGTTAACTTACAGATATTTTTTATACAGCATGGTATCTTTAAGCCACACATTAAGAATATTTAGTTTTCCTTAGGAGATATAACAATAGAAATAACCTTGTCCAATGATCTTCTTATGGAAAACATCAGGCAATATATAAACAGGGACATATATACCAGCCAAAGGCATTTGCCACTGTGATACCCGAGATCCATAGCAGAATCCAGCTTGAGGAGGGGTTTTCCATGCATGATATAGCCCCCCAGATGCTCCCTTTTTTTCAAATTAAGTCCAGAGAACTTACTGAAAGAGATCTATAGTCATGCAAGAGTTTTTTCATTTAAAATTTTATTTTCTCCCCTCCTCTCTTTTTAAATGGGGAAAATCTGTGCAAAATATATACATGATGAAGCAAAACAAATCCTTACATTGTCCATGTAAAAAAAAATGTGCGTCTCACTGCATCTTGAATTCATAACCTCTTTGTCAGTCAATGGGTATCATGGTCCATCATTGGCCCTTGATATTCATGGATCAGCATTGCATTGATAATAATTCATGAGCTTTCAGAATACATTTAAAAATGTTGCTATTATTATATAAACATTTCTCTTGGCTTGTCTCAATTCACTATTACTTTATACAAGCAATCTTAGGTTTCTCTGAATTCATATCTTTGATCATTTCTTATCCAAATTTCCACATGCATGTGAATAAGTGCCCTATGGAGCTAAGCTTCCCATGAAAACAAAGATTTATCATTTTACCAGTATTACTTTATGACAATAACTCATGGAAGACCACTTCCTCTGAAAAACTAAAGGTTACCATCATACGTCTCCCTTCACTATGACTTTAGTGGAGGGAGAAGATAATGTGACTTAAGATGGTATGAGTATGTGTTCATTATTAACTAGGATAATAATAGAAACATGCAAAAATCCTTATAAAAATTATAGGTAAAAATGAATAGAGGAGGAACTTTTGGCTCCCTATATTGATCCCCTCCCTGACCACTGCTACCTTAGCTGCCCTTGTCTCTTTTCCCCCTGAGCAATCGTTTTCTTCCATACTTCACCCAATAATGCTGTTACCACATGCTCCAATTTTAGATTCCTGATTAAGAAAGGATTGAAGACAGGTCACTTATTGTTCACTTTATTGGCATCATTACCCGCTGACTACTCTCCTGGACTTCACCATTGTCTCAAAAAAAATAACTTCTTGCAAGATCATATCAACTCTGAAATTCACATTTCCTCAGTACCTCTTCTCCCTGGAGCCCTTCCCTCCCTCTGATAAGAGTGGGTGGAGGGTGGATATGGACAGCTCTTCCCAGATCTTCCATTTAAGGAGATTGTCCATCTCATCATTAGGACAACCATTTCATCATTTTCCACCAGGTTGTGAGTCTTCATCACATCCAATCAATAGGTACTCTCCCTCCCTCCCCTTTTTTCTCCTTTCAGCTCCTTTTTATGTGTTGTCTTCTCCCAATTAGACTATAAGGTCAAGGGCTATCTTTTGCCTTTCTTTGTATCCCCAGTATTTAGCACAGTGCTTGGTATATAGCTTAATAAGTATTTATTGACTGACTGATGCAATGGTCACATTATTTCTTTCTGTTCCCAGCTGTTGAGAATATAGTCTAAGAAAATGGTTGTGCTAATTCATGAAATAACTGGAGGCAGGGTAAGAACAGATATTGGATTTATCCATATATACATATGTGCATCTTTTCTTTTTACAAGGCAATCAGGGTTAAGTGACTTGCACAGGATCACATAGCTAGTAAAGTGTCAAATATCTGAGGCCAGATTTGAACTCAGGTCCTCCTAACTCCAGGGCTGGTGCTGTATCCACTACACCACCTAGATGCCCTATTGGCATCTTGTTTTTAGGCAATTAGGGTTAAGTGACTTGCCCAGTGTCATACAGCTAGTAAGTATCAAGTGTTTGGTCTGAGGCTGGATTTGAACTCAGATCCTACTGACTTTAGGGCTCTATCTACTGTGCCACCTATCTGGCCCTGGTATCTTTTTTAAAAAAAGTATATTTTATTGGTATCATCTAAGTTTCCTCTGTGCTCCTCCCTTGCAACTAGTGAGCAGCATCCTTTACAACAAAGATTCATATTTTAAAGAAGACAAGAAAAATTCAGGAAAATCAACTGAAAAATCTGAGGTTACATGCAGTGCCCACTCCCATGGAATTCAACTTCAGTAAAGGATCACTGGGGAGTGTTTTTCCAGATTGACTGCTTTGTTTCTTGTCTTAGACATATTAATTTTGCTTGTACAAAAGCTTCTCAACTTCCTGTAATCAAAATTATAGATTTTACCTTTTGTAATTTTCTTTATCACTTATTTTGTTAGGAATTAATATCATATTGACTATAAAAAGATATATGATATGCTTCTCTTAATGTTTTATAGTATAATTTTTAATATTCAGGACATAATTCTATTTAAAATTTATTGTAGAATATGGTGCAAAATGTTGGTCTAAGCCAAATTTCTGCCAGACTCTGTTCCAGTTTTCTTATCAGTACTTAACAAATAAGGAGTTCTTTCCTAAGCCATTTATATTTTCAGGTTCATTGAACACTGGGTTATTGAGTTCAATTACTTTTGATTTTCTCTTGGCTAGTCTGGGACTAGATAGCATTAGTATGAGATCTAGCCTCCAAGACATATGACATAATGTTTGAATAATTTCTCTAATATGGACCTAGCCTTAGCTTTTAAAAAGCTAGTAGAGTCATTTTATTTTCTCAGATTTTGTATAAATATAAATACATTAAGTGAGCTATTGTTAGCAATCAGGAATGCTTTGTTACATAACATTCATTAGTTTAGGGGAACTTAGGGGAGAAAAAACCCTCTGATTATAGGTATTTAGCTCAAAAGTATATCAGTTATAACTCCTTGATTGTGTTACTCTTTGCAAATAATTGAAATATTTTGTTAGTGAAAGTCTTGACACAACAGTGACACAAATACATATATGAGATCATAAGGAAATTAAAAGGAACATCTAAATATGCATCACAACAAATTCATGGCTTAATGTGGGCTCCCTTTGTAATTTTAAAGTAAGTATTGTGGTGAGTAGTTCTTAGTATAAACCTTAGTAATAAACCTTTATTACACACAATATGAAAATACTTCAGAAGGTATATGATTAATGCTGTGGCATTAAGACACAGTTTATAGAGATTTTTCAATCAAAGACAAAAGGCCCAAGTGGATGATGAAACACATGAAAGAGAGGTATATATGTATTAAAGCAATAAATGTAAACTTGTTCATATAAGCACACCTAAGACCTCCTAGTGTGTTGGGTAGGTACAGAAATAAGACATTTTCTATGTATTTGTTACCAGAGGAGTTTTCCAAATCAACCAAAAGGGGTGCTAAAGAATAATTGCACAGAAGATTTTTTTTTTCTTTCTGTAAAGGAAGATGCTGTCTCTGCAACACAGTGATGATGTTACTGCCTTCTAGTACTTGCTGCCTCAAACAAAACTCCAATTGACTTCAAGGCCCCACAGTTTTGGATCATCTCAAACCTACTGCTATTCAGAATTTCAAGTAAACTATTTATTAAAGATCTATCGCATTGTCTATTGTATTGTTTGAATTTGTTTCTTCCAATATTTGCATTTGGGTTGCACCAAATTACTTTTGAAACTACCTATCAGTGAATATTCAAATAATATGTAAAGCAGGCCAGATTACACAAAGAGTTCCTCCTTGCTCCTATTCACTCTTGTCTGAATCTTAACTTTGTCTAATTTTTTTTCCCTTTACCATCACTTCAGTTCCATCCCTTGAAGTAGGGGGAAAACATTTTATTTTTGTAGACTCAGAAATCATTAGAGTTAGAAGGGATCTTACAGGTCATTTGGACCATCTTTCCTCACCACCCTGATTTTCAAGTGGGAAGATATGACATTTGGGGGGATTGATTCTTTGCTTTTGAAGCAGAGAAATGAAAGATTTTTTAAAAAGAAATAACCAACTTTTGCAAAACCTAGGGAGAGATAGGAAAGCTACAGTCTATTCTCTGTTACTCTCTAGACAAATCTCTAGGACTATAAGTTCCAGAGAAGGTAATTACTTGCATTGTTAAAAAGAAGTTTCTCTTTTTGAGAGTTCCCTTTACTAATGAAGTCACAGGTCTAGTATTTATCTATGAAAATATTAATTTTCAGTGTAGACTGATGATTTCATCAGTATAGGGAGCCCTCAACGAAGATATTCCTTTAGTCAATGCATTCCCTCAGGCAATTTTTCTTCAATTTAAAGTCTTAGAGCATTGCTTAAGACAATGGTCTCCAAATTTTTTAATTGCAAACACCTATCAGTAAAAATTTTTGGACATGTACTCCCAATACGTATATATTGGCTTATTTATAAATTATTTGCATGTAGTAAAATATGTCACAAAAATGAATGGGATCATAATCTAAATTTAAAAGAATTCCATAAAAATGAAATATTTTATTTATTAAAAGTACAAAAACCCTTTTTGTTTCAAAAAATGCTACTAATAATGGATTTTTTTTGGTTGGACAATGGGGATTAAGTGACTTGCCCAGGGTCACACAACTAGTAAGTGTTATGGATCTGAGTCCAAATTTGAACTCAGGTTCTCCTGAATCCAGGGCCAGTATTCTATCCACTGCACCATCTAGCTGCCCTGTAATAATGGAATTTTTATAATTGAATACTTCGTTACTTTGGTTTAATACTTTGTAGTGTGATTGAAGGTCTAGTTGTAAGTTCAGGTTTTGTTTTGTTTTTTTTTTTGAGGGGGGATGCTTGGTTTTAATGGATGTCAAATTTTAAAAAAAGATATCTCAGAAAGATATTTAGATCCCAATGGGAAAATGCTTTATTAACTCTACTTACTGTCATGATATTCATTTTTCAATACATACTCATACTTCAATCTATTCTATGCAAAGGTTTTTTTTTAAATTAAGCTAAAACTTAACTAGTTAACTTATACTTTTCCTTATGTCAATTATTCTAAACAGTTTAAAAAAATTTAACAAATAGATTCAAAACACATGAACTCTTATTTTTGATGATTTTGAAATAGATTAGAAAATTCTACTTCTTAGTCTTTTTAAGATGTGCAGATAGGAGAATTGTTATAGCTGGCATTGTTTTTAGCAAGATCAAACTATATAGATGGAAATGGTAGTGAACAATATCAAATGCTACAGAGGTAAAGAATGATGAGGATTAATAAAAGCATCAGATTCAGCGAGTAAAACCTCATTAATAACTTTGAAGAGAGCAATTTCAGATAAACGAGGTGTCAAGGGTAATGAAGAGACTGAAGACTATAAAGATTATAGTGTCCTCTATGGAAATAAAAAAGTTTGGAAAAGGAATGAGTTTTAAAGAAAAGTTAAGTTATAAGATCTGCCATACTATCATGCCATCCATACCTGCTCATTCTCTTCTACTCATTCTTTTTCACTGGGACAAAAAAGGGAAATGACAGCTGTTACTCAATGGCCATTGTGCTGAAAAAACAGAGCTTGCTTAGTTAGGGGAACCTTTGGCAGCTATGAAATGACCTGGGGAGTAGAGTAATCATAAGTTGCTAAGGTTGGAAAATTTGCCTGCACTACTGCTGTGGGTGCCTGGGTCATGATTAGGTTATAACCATTATAAGGAACCAATACTCAGGCCAGGAAAACTAGATAATCTGTAAGGATACTTTCAGTGTTGACATTTCAGGATCCTATGAAAAGGGCCTGGAGTATGTCCAGAAGCTACAAGCATTGGTAAAAGTGGTAGTTTGAAAGAACAAGAAATTTGGAAGATAGCCATTAAGGATGTGAAATGTGGGTGATCTGATACAAAAAGAGCTTAACTTATAGATAGAGGAAGATCAAAATTTGGGCCTACACTTCCTTTTGGGTCACTTTATTTATCTTGATTATCCTAAGCCCCTTTTTGACTCAGGCTTCATTTATGCTGGGTCCTTTCAGCACTTGTCTGCTCAACTCTCTTCTGTATTATTGTACTCATATATTGCCTTATAATGTTCTCAGATTTCTTCATTTCTTTGTTTTATTCAGTTTTTCAACTGCTGTTAACTATTTTAGGACAAGAATTTATTTTCTCTTGTTTTCATATAACACCCAGTATACAGGATGGCATGTAGTTGTTGCCTTAGTGTTAAAAGTGTTCTTTTTATTGACTCAAATTAATAATGACTTCTGTGACCTGCTCCATTATTTGAGGGTGCTGGTGACTTGAGAATTTCTCTTTGTAGCTGCAAGTCTAAATGATGAACCCTTGAGTGAGATTGGATACATTTATTTGTCATTTTATACTGAAGGTGCCAACGCAACCCCCACTTTGGGAGACTCCTTTTCATAGTAGAAGAAATATTTGTCTTCAGTGTAATGTATTGTGAGCCTTTTTTACTTTCATATTCAATGTAAGCAATTTTTCTTTGAAGTAAATCATAATTACTAGTAACATCTTAGTTTAACCATGTCACCCTTTGTAAATTTCACAACAAGTCTTGCTACAAAATAATGGCAGCTTCTTCCAAAATCATTCTTAGGAAAATCATTAGCACTGGACAGATGCTGACATTACATAATCACACTGAAATTATTAGACAGGTCTTCCATTGAGATAATAAATAGCTACCTTTGTAGCTAAGGCTGCTGAGCAGGTTGCTCAAAGGCCAAGTTAACTGCAAAACAAACCATGAGTTCTGAAAGATTATCATAAGCTCAGCCATGAGATCAGCCACTTATCAACCAGTGCTTACAAACACCTTCAAGGTCAAAGGTAAGAATTTGCCAAAAGAGACATGGAAGTAAGGCTTTTTTTTAAAGGTAATTGGGGTTAAGTGACTTGCCCGGGGTCACACAGCTAGTAAGTGTCAAGTGTTTGGTCTGAGGCCAGATTTGAACTCAGGGCTTCCTGACCTTAGGGCCGGTACTTCATGCACTGCACCATCTAGATGGCCCATGGCTTTTTCTTTATATCAGAAAGAGCAATTTACACTCAAATGAAGAGCCACTGTGGTCAAAAGAGCCCTGCTGCTGAGTGTCTCAACTGCAAAATATTCTCTGATACCCGCTAGTCACATATACAGGAACTCATGAGATAGGAAGACACTTAACACCCTGGGAGACATCAGGGGCAGATGAATTCCAGCATCCTATTCCATCATTTGGGGCCACCTACCTATGATATTTTCTTCAATAAATACCATTTCGGATTTGCCTTTTTAGTGGCATGAAAGTGATACTACATAACTATACAGTAAAAAATGTATTCATTACAACTATTCATTATACTACTATAAATTGGGAGTGAACAAAGGATTACCTACTTTGAGACTGATCACTTCCCTAGCTTTCAAAATTATGCCTAACAACTTAGTACAACTAGATTTGCTTTACAACTAAAATTTTAGATTCTACAGACATTATAGTTATAAGATTTTAAGTCCTGTATGACAAAATGCAGATTTATTTAAACCTTTTGCTTAAGATGAACATGTGAAGGGTAACACACTAGTTTAACTCTTCCATTATCACTCCAACAATGATCTAGAAAAAGCAATCAGATTGAACAATTACTAAGAAATGAAAAGGGAAATGAAATAAACTGCTCAATCAGACCTAGAGCTACACAAAAAGATAGTTGGAAGTTGTATACTCTGTAAGAGGGTTCCTGACAGAGACACCAGCAGAAGAGCAGGTAAAGAGATTTGAAGCTCACTGAAGTACCCTGACAGGGGAAGCCCCAGTGGAGGATAAAGTGGCAAAGAGGTCAGCTTAACAAGGGGTGCTCTAACAGGGATATTGCTTTGATAAAGGAAACCTCAATATATACAGGAAACCAACCAGTGTCCTGAGTAAGGAAATTCTTCAGGGTGAGAGAAGAGGACAGAATATCACACAGAACTTTTGCTGGGAAAGCCCCAGGAAGGAAAGAATGACGACACAACAACAAGAAAAGTCTTAAATGGAATGAAAGTGGCTGTGGCCTGACCAGATAAATCTCGGTGGGACTGAAGACCACCAAATGTCTTGATCCAGTAAGCCTAATGGGGGACAGATGGCCATGGTAATGTTTTGATCAGGGGTAGCCAGTTTCACTTTTGATCTGGAACATTGAAGACTTCCAGAATTCTGAGTGTAAGCATACCAAGGGAAGTAGAAGCCAGTGGTAGGAAACACATAAAGAAAAGTCAGTATCAAGCAGCCAAATCACCTCTATCCAAGATGTAGGACGCTGGAGCATGGTCCAAAATCAGGAACTGAGGCTGGATATGCATAAACATACATAGCAGACATTAAACAGTGTAAAGAGATAGTATGCATTAAGAATCACCAAGAGAAAAATCCAGATGAGGTTCTAAGCAGAAGGGAAAAAATGCGGGGTGGCCCATAAGAGTACCTAGAAAACAGTAAGCAAAACATAAAAATTAAATAAAGAGTTCTAGAGGAAAAAATGGAATGAAAAGAAATAGGTTAGAACAAAAAATAGAAAATTTTACCTAAGGATCAGTCTCTGAAAATGAGATTAGATCAAATAAAACTCAATGATTCCAGGAGACAACAACAACAAAATATGAGAACAATATGAGGAGATTGAAAAAAATAGAAGACAATGTCAGGTATCAAAAATAACTGACTGGAACATGGTTCGAGGGGAAGCAATTTAAAAATAATTTGACTCTCTAAAAACCATGGCCAAAAAAATCTAGATACCATATTTTAAGAAACCATGTATTAAATCTTCCCAGATTAGAAAAACAGCACAAAATAAAACATATGGAATATGACAGTCACCTCCTCAAAGAAATCCCAAATTGAAAACTACAAGAAATGTCATAATAAAAATCCAAAACTTACCCCCAAAATACTGCAAGAATACAGAAAGAATTCAAGTACCCAGGAACTATATTCAGTATCACACAAGATAAGGCAGCTACTACAATAAAGGATAGAAAATTATGGAATACTAAATGGCAAAAATGAAAAAGATAAAGGTTTACAACCAACTTACCTTGAAGAGCTGGTTATAATCTTATGGGGTGGGGAATGGGTCTTGTATGGAATAGAGAACTTTCAGTCATTCCTGATGAAAAGACAAAAGCAGAATAGAAACCTTAAATGCAAATTCAGGAATCAAGAGAAACCTAGAAAGGTAAATACATTAGAGTAATTTGAGTGAGATAAATGATAATGAAGTGCCTATATTCTAATCAGCAGAGAAGAAATAATTGTACCTTCAGAATCTTAATTACTTCAAAGGTCACACAGGAAATTAAAATGAAATGAATAGTGTGATTTGGAGTGACTGTTATATCTTCATGATTTTAAGAAGGAAAAAATAAAGGAAGAAAAAGAGTCTACTAAAGATGAAATTTTACAGAAGGATACAATATGCTGTTAATAAGGGGGGGAGGCTGTTTAAACCCCTACAAGGGAATATGAGACTTGCAACCCTTCAGAACTGTATTTTTATTACACCTTGCTAAAGGAGTATACATAAAGAGGGTGGATATTAGTTGACTTTGATGTAATGATAAAAAGAAAATCTAATCAAGTTAAATGGATTCAAATAAGTGGATCAATCTAATCTTAGAAAAGGTACTGAAAAAGGAGGAGGCAGACAAGGGTAAATTACATTATAGGAAAAGACACAAAATCCTGTTACAGCAGAGGGAAAGGGGAGGAGCATTGTTTGAACCTCACTCTCATCAGATTAGGCTCAAGAAGGGCATAATATAATCAGTTAAGTATAGAAATCTAACTTGCCCTATAGGCAGTAGGAGGGAAAAGGGGAAAGAAAAGGTAGGAAGGAAAGAAAAAGGAGGGGGGGGAAAGAAGGGAGGGAAGCAGCAGTAAGAATAAAGGGGAAGAAAAGGGAAAGGGATAATAAAAGGGGGAAGGGACTGAAGGAGGCAGTGGTCAAAAGCAAAACATTAGTGAAGCGGAGAAAGGAAAAAGGAGAAAGAAAAGCATAAATGGGGGGAAAGGATGGAGAAAAAGACACAGATAGTAATCATAACTGTGAATGTGAATGGGATGAACTCTCCCATAAAACAGAAATGGATTGCAGAATGGATTAAAAACCATAATCCTACAATATGTTGTTTACAGGAAACACATTTGAAAAAGAGTGACACATACAGGGTAAAGGTAAAAGGCTGGAGCAGAATATATTATGTGTCAGCTGAAGTAAAAAAAGCAGGGGTAGCAATCCTGATCTCAGACAAAGCAAAAGCAAAAATAGATCTAATCAAAGGAGATAAGGAAGGAAACTACATCCTGCTAAAAGGCACCATAGACAATGAAGTAATATCATTACTAAATATATGCACCAAATGGTATAGCATCCAAATTCTTACAGGAGAAGTTCAGGGAGTTACAGGAAGAAATAGACAGCAAAACTATACTAGTGGGGGACCTGAACCTCCCCCTCTCAGCACTAGATAAGTCTAACCACAAAATAAACAAGAAAGAAGTTAAGGAGGTGAATAGAACATTAGAAAAGTTAGGTATGATAGACCTCTGGAGAAAACTGAATGGGGATAGAAAGGAATATACTTTTTTCTCATCAGTACATGGCACATACACAAAAATTGACCATGTACTAGGGCATAAAAACCTCACAATCCAATGCAGAAAGGCAGAAATATTAAATGCATCCTTTTCAGATCATGATGCAATAAAAATTATATGTAATAAAGGGCCATGGAAAGATAGACTAAAAAATAATTGGAAACTAAATAATCTAATCCTAAAAAATGATTGGGTCAAACAACAAATCATAGAAACAATCAATAATTTCATTCAAGAGAATGACAAATAATGAGACAACATACCAAAACCTATGGGATGCAGCGAAAGCAGTTCTTAGGGGAAGTTTTATATCTCTAAATGCTTACATAAATAAAATAGAAAAAGAGGAGATTAATGAATTGGGCATACAACTAAAAAAACTAGAAAAAGAACAAATTAAAAATCCTCAACTAAACACCAAATTAGAAATATTGAAAACCAAAGGAAAAATTAATAAAATTGAAATTAAGAAAACTATTGAACTAATAAATAAAACTAAGAGCTGGTTTTATGGGGGAAAAAAACAATAAAATAGATAAGCCTTTGGTTAATTTAATTAAAAAAAGAAAGAAGAAAACCAAATTACTAGTATCAAGAATGAAAAGGGAAGCTACCACCAAGGAAGAGGAAATTAAAACAATAATTAGGAATTATTTTGCCCAACTATATGCCAACAAATTTGACAATCTTAGTGAAATGGATACATATTTACAAAAATATAAATTGCCCAGATTAACGAAGAGGAAGTAAAATACTTAAATAACCCCATCTCAGAAAAAGAAATTGAACAAGCCATTGATGAACTCCCTAGGAAAAAATCTCCAGGGCCAGATGAATATACATGCGAATTCTATCAAACATTTAAAGAACAATTAATTCCAATACTATATAGACTATTTGGGAAAATAGGTGAAGAAGGAGTCTTACCAAATTCTTTTTATGATACAAATATGGTGTTGATACCTAAACCAGGAAGAGTCAAAATAGAGAAAGAAAATTATAGACCAATTTCTCTAATGAATATAGATGCAAAAATTTTAAACAAAATTAGCAAGTAGATTGCAGCAACTTATCACAAGAATAATACACTATGACCAGGTAGGATTTATACCAGGAATGCAGGGTTGGTTCAATATTAGGAAAACTATCAGCATCATTGAGCATATCAACACAAAACCAACAGAAACCACATGATCATCTCAATAGATGCAGAAAAAGCTTTTGATAAAATACAACACCCATTCCTATTAAAAACACTAGAAAGCATAGTTATAAATGGAGTCTTCCTGAAAATAATAAGTAGCATATATCTAAAATCTTCAGCAAGCATCATATGTAATGGGGACAGGCTAGAAGCATTTCCAATAAGATGGGGTGAAACAAGGATGTCCATTATCACCACTGTTATTCAATATTGTACTGGAAACTTAGCTTTAGCAATAAGAGAAGAAAAAGAAATTGAAGGCATTAGAATAGGCAAAGAAGAAACAAAGCTATCACTCTTTGCAGATGACATGATGATATACTTAGAGAATCCTAGAGAATCAAGTAAAAAACTACTTGAAATAATAAACAACTTTAGCAAAGTTGCAGGCTATAAAATAAACCCACAGAAATCATTAGCATTTCTATATATTACCAACAAAGCCCAGCAAGAGATAGAAAGAGAAATCCCATTTAAACTTACTGTAGACATTATAAAATATTTAGGAGTCTACCTCCAAAACAAACCCAGGAACTCTATGAACACAATTACAAAACACTTTTCACACAAATAAAATCAGATCTAAATAATTGGAAAAACATCAGTTGCTCATGGGTAGGCCGAGCTAATATAATAAAAATGACAATCCTACCTAAGCTAATTTACTTATTCAGTGCCAAACCAATCAAACTACCAAAAATTATTTTATAGAGTTAGAAAAAATAATAACAAGATTCATTTGAAGAAACAAAAGGTCCAGAATATCAAAGGAACTAATGAAAAGAAATGCAGGGGAAGGTGGCCTAGCAATTCCAGATCTTAAATTGTATTGTAAAGCAGCCATCATCAAAACTGCTTGGTACTGGCTAAGAAATAGGGAGGTGGATCAGTGGAATAGGTTAAATATGCAAGACACAGTAGTCAATGACTATAGTAATCTATTATTTGATAAACCCAAAGACCCCAGCTTCTGGGATAAGAACCCACTCTTTGAAAAAAACTTCTGGGAAAACTGGAAAAGAGTATGGCAGAAGCTAGGCATAGACCCAAATCTCACACCATATACCAAAATAAAGTCAAAATGAGTTCAGGACTTAGATATAAAGGCTGATACCATAAGTAAACTGGGAGAACAAGGAATAGTTTACCTATCAGATCTATGGAGAACAGAAGAATTCATGACCAAACAGGAGATAGAGAACATTATGAAAAGCAAAATGGATAATTTTGATTACATTAAATTGAAAAGTTTTTGCACAAACAAAGCCAATGCAACTAAGATTAGAAGGAAGGTAGAAAATTGGGAAAGAATTTTTACAACCAGTCTTCTGATAAAGGCCTCATTTCTAAAATATATAGAGAATTAAGACAAATTTATAAGAACACAAGCCATTCCCCAATTGATAAATGGTCAAAGGATATGAACAGACAGTTCTCAGATGAAGAAATTAAAGCCATCTATAGTCATATGAAAAAATGCTCTAAATCATTATTGATTAGAGAAATGCAAATCAAAACAACTCTGAGGTACCACATCACACCTATCAGATTGGCCAACATGACAAAACAGGAAAATGATAAATGTTGGAGAGATGTGGGAAAATTGGAACTAATACATTGTTGGTGGAGTTGTGAAATGATCCAACCATTTTGGAGAACAATTTGGAACTATGCCCAAAGGGCTACAAAAATGTGCATACCCTTTGATCCAGCAATAGCACTTCTAGGGCTATATCCCAAAGAGATCAAACAAATGGGAAAAGGACCCACATGTACAAAAATATTCATAGCAGCTCTTTTTGTGGTGGCAAAGAATTGGAAATTGAGAGGATGCCCATCAATTGGGGAATGGCTGAGCAAGTTGTGGTATATGAATGTAATGGAATACTATTGTGCTATAAGAAATGATGAACAGGCTGACTTCAGAAAAACCTGGAAAGACTTATATGGTCTGATGCTGAGTGAAGTGAGCAGAACCAAGAGGACTTTGTATACAATAGCAGTCACATTATGCAATGACTAAGAATGTTGTACTGAACCCTTCTGAGCCTTATGAGGATCTAAGACATCTCCAGAGGCCTCGGGATGGAAAATGCTGTCCACACCCAAAGAAAGAACTATAGAAGTCGAATTGCTCTCACTTATTTTTACCTTCAGTTGTTTTGTTTCATCTTTCTGATGGTTCCTCCTATTGGTTTTAATTTTTACTTACAACTTCACTAATGTGAAAATATGTTTAATATATGTAAATGTAAAGCCTATGTCAGATTGTGCTGCCTTGGGGAAGGGGGGGGGAGAAAAAGGGA